AACATGCCCTACTATGTGGTCTAACCTCTAAACTGTAGGTTCACCGCTAAAGATGTCAAATTATGTTACATTTTTAGCAGCTAATCACTCAAGAAGAGGATGATGTGCCTATGAATAATAGTATGTAAAGTAGGAATACAACAAAATACAGCTAAACAACAATTACATAGTAATACATGGTAGGTATTATGTCTTCTACTCCATATCATTTAACACCAATTTATTGCACTGCGTGGTTCAAACTCAACTGCACAATTATGAAAATGCGCCTAATGTACATAACCTTCATGGTGTAAAAAACACACATACTGCTTATGTGGTAGCAACATAATTCCTCTGCAATACCGCTTTCCAGAACCAGAGTTATCTTACAGTGTATCACAACCATTTGACATTCTGGTCAAATGTGTTCAAGACATCATACTGTATGACTTATGTAAAGAATTAAAATCAGATTTTTAGTGCTAGAAATTATATAATTATTACTGTAATTAACTTGCTCGTGAGAATAAACAGCGGGTATAACTATACTTGCCCATGTGTTGTTTTTGTCAGTCAGGCAAACAAAACATTTAGGTCCTGTCATCCATCATGACCTGCCATCTAATCCAAAAATAGCAGCAATTTGTGGACCCTTGAAATGTTCTTTCCGCTTTTCTTTTTCTGTCTGGTAAAACTTTGAGACCCAGACATCTTAAAGCTGATGGCAATGATAGTGACCTGGGACAGATCCTCCTTCTTTCATTTGTGTGAAAAATTATGTACAATAGGCTCATCCATCTTTGAACTATGTAAGAACATAACAACGATTACAAATTAGATTTAGTGATGAAGCCTATTTTATATGCTTGGTTCCTAGTAGTTTAATGATCAAATAATTCTATTAAGCTGTTCCTTGAAGGTTCTCATTGACTTTGGTTTCAACAATGTGTCTAAGGAGTTCTTTTTACTCTTATTTACTCCCGTTTATGGGAATCTGTTTTCCATCTTAAATATTCCTAAACTTTATTTCTACCTGTGTTTCTTCTTCTTATATAGTTAATGATCTTCAAAAAGCCCTCTGATTTGATTTGGTCAATCAAATTCTGAATACCTGAGATAAGTCCCTACATAATGTTCTCTGCTGAAAAAAAATAAGATTAAAAAGTCAGAAGGGTATTAAGAGTCTAATACTAAAAGATTCACTTAGTCTATCTGAGCATGATCCCTTCAGACCAAGAATTAGCCTAATTTCTCTCATTTGTAATGCTGTTAGCAGCCATATCTTTCATGCAGTATGTTGGCTAAAATGGAACACAATATTTCAAATGAGTTCTAACTAATGCATTGTATAATTTTAATATTACATCATTTCATTTGCAATTCATTGTTAACACTTAATATCATACAAAAGCATTCTCGTTTTTTCCATCACACTGTCTAAATTAGTCAGCATTCATTTCTATAGTTTTCTCATACTTCTGCTTCACTCACTGAATATATTCAGACACATAAAATAATAAGGTATCTGAATTATATCTTTAATGTTCGTTTTGCTGATGATAACATATTTGCAACCTCACCTAATTTTTTGTCATCACCATACCTGCTAAGTTTATTTTTTGTTGTTTTCCTAAATAGCAAAATCTATTTCACACTACTTCGAACTGTACTCACTGTTATTGCAATTACATAACAAATCTAAGAAAAGCAAATATTGATATATACATTGTGTCAAGTGCAGTATTATATTGTTCTAATGCACATCTCAATATAAAGCGGATGTGTAAATTTCTCACTAAGGGCTCTGTTGTTTTTGTGGTAATTGTTTTTGTACTTTGCAGCATCTGTAACTCAAAGCAGCCTTTATAAAAAAGCAGTCTCAATGCAGTCATCAAAAAAGTGAAGACAATGATATTTGATATTTTTTCAGGGGAATAATTGCAGATACACCAACATGACATAGGCAACCACCAGGAATGTGAAAGCGATGGGCCTGTGAGATTTATGAAACACTTAATGTGTGAATCAGGTTACCCTTTTTCACTTTGTAGTGACTCTTCTGGGCTTTACGGAGTAAACTGGAAAGCAAAGCCAAGCATGGTCAGCTCATGTCTGTCCAGTTTCAGTGACTCTCAGCCAGTTGCATTCCACAGCAGAAATAATTCTGGTCACAGTCATATAATGACATAACTCAGTAAAACTAGACATATCTGTTTGCCACTCAGGTAGTCTTTCAACCATTGTGTCCCATGTTGTGAAATGTGCAGCATTGTACATCTCATCCATGTTTTTGAATCCCTTTGAATATATACTGATGGAAAAAAGAAATACAACACCTTCTCCTCCACACTCTGGCCCTCCCATCTGCATGGAACAGGCTGAAGAGCGACTCATCTGTGAAGAGGACCTGATGCCACTGTTTACAAGTCCATCGCAGCCTCTGACTGGCCCAAGCCAGTTGGGTGTGACGTCTAGGAGGTGTGAGCAGTGGGTCTCTTTGCTCTAAGGCCAGCAGCATGGAGCCTCACTGTCCTGTCACTAATGTGGCATTGAGTCTGCCGGCAGTTTCAGCAGTAGGCAGATCTGAAACAATCTCTCAGATGGACCAGTCTATGTGTCGGTCACGCTCTGTGGTCACTTGAGGGCAACCGGATCTTGGACGGTCATCTACCCTGCCGGTCTGCTGAAACCTTCTCTGCAGTCAGGACACAGTGGAGTGGCTTACTCCATAGTGTCTGGCAATGCTGGCACATGAGATGCCTGCCTGCAGCATGCCAATGGCCTTTGAATTAAGGCCTTTTTAAAGGTGACCCGATCAGGCATTGTTCAACCTGAACTTAGTTGTGTAAAAGTGCACCTAACAAGCTTTTATGTGATTGAGTTGCAATGCCTCATTGCACAAGCTGTATTGCTGATCAGAGGCCTTAAAACAAATTGACAACTTTTTGTGAAAGTACATAAGCTATTACTATTGTATTCTCATTCCAGGAAATGTTGCGTTTCTTTTTTTCCATTTATATATTTATTTATAACCCAACTGTGCTTTATTTAGTAGGATAAATGTAGTATTGTACAGCTTTACTGAAATTATACCACAAGCATATAAAGTTGCTCTATCAGGGGGACAGCTTGAATGAGACATTTCTGCAAAAAACTTACTAACTAGATTTGATAGTGGACTGCCCACTCAAACTGATTTTTTCCAACTATTTTCCAACATGATTGGCTCTTTCTTGACATTGTGCTCTGGGCAAATGGGCAAGTGATAATTTTTTTTTCAGAGCTCGGGCTGGACTTTGCATGTATCCCATCAATAAATACATGGTTTTTCCAAACTATCACCCTCCACTCCTGTTTTAGAGCCTTTTAGTGCACAATCCTGTCATAAATAAGGATGCCTTTTCTTGTTGTTGCAGTTTTATTTATCTCTTCTCTTTTCTGACTGTTCTTTTCTCCCCCTTGCCATTCTGCAGGCATACAATGCCATTCTACAATATATGGATATTGTCAAATGTTTGTATCACAGCAGAAGCATGTTTTTAAAATAAATCATGAAGGAGACAATTTTTCAGTTTAGATATTTTCTCATTAACTTCTCTCAGTAGACAAATCAATGCAATTCTAAAAAACAAAAAATATACAGTTTATTAAGCATATGTGCTGCTTCTGTACCTACAAATCATTAAACATGATGTTATCTGATACTCATAGAGTTTTTGATTGATGCCAAACCTCCCATGGTGGTAGAAGAGGTGCTTTTTATACTCATTCAAGAACAACAGAGTGGATCAACAAATGGACATTCTCTGACCACAGAACAACCTAGATCACTAAGAGTGATGAAAAATCAAACCAGATTTGATTACCTACTAATGTTAGTTTGCGGACTCTGAACAACATCCATCAATTTATACCAAAAATATACAGCTCTTAAAATTGTGATGTGTGGCTTGAATTTCTGTGTGTGCTAGTGAAAATTGAGGATTTTCTATTTTTTCCCACATATCAACCAAACTCAATGATGGAAAAGCACAGACTGTACAAAGTAAATACAATAAATACAAGTCTAATAATATACTGTTGGCTGTGTTACTATTGGTGTAATTTTGGTCAATGCATTCAGCATCTTTCTTATGATATTGTCTTCGATAGATACAACACAGAACACAATAAAATACATCATGGCCAGAACCTGAATGCTTAGATTTACAAAAGACCTACATTCAATGAAAAAAAAAAAACATAAACACTCTCTTTTCTGTTTTTTCCTAATTGATGTTTTAAACCATTTGGGACACTTTTTGACTAACTTATGTATTAGCATAAATCTGTTCAGGACTTCAAGGAGAATCTTTCTAATCTTTTGCCATCCATTCTCCACTAAATCCATACATATCTTTACTCATACTCATTTACATCTCATTCCTGCAAAAGCTGCATCTGTTCATGTGAAGCAAACAATTAAGTAAGAATATGGATGTTGAGAAAACAAAGGCTGAATGACAACAGAAATAGCAAAAAATCTAAACATTTATCCCAATAAGGTAAGATTCCAACTAAAATGTTCATGAAACTGTGTGATTTTATCTGCAATGTCTAATGGAGTTAATAAGGAATGTTTGGAAGGTACAAAAGTACCACATTCATGATTAACCTATCAGGATCTATGTTAGATTAATCTACAGTATGATAGATTTAATCTACTGTAAATTGAATACTTTTCAAGCCACCCGTATCTTGATTATCTGTTTCTCCACTGTCCATAGTCTTCTCTGACCTCTGATCCAACAGTGTCTGAAGGCAAATGCTGCTTACTTGAGACTGGGGCTCTTGTTTTTCTTGCTTTGTTTAACTGCATGGAGACATGTTTAATTTATGACAGTTAATAAAGTAAAAATCCTTGCTTATGGAGTTAGTTAGTCTAGTTGTGTCTGAGGACTAAGGAGGAAGTTCACAGGCTTTTCGTCCTGTTTTTTGCTTCTTCAGGAGGATCCTAACAACTGTTTTATTTTAAGCAGAAGTCAGCAGCACCTGGTTTAATGGCTTTCACTGCTGCGCGTTCCAGTACCTATTCTCATACCAACGGTCCTGTGATTGCTTTTGAGTTCTTGCTATGGTACGTACTCCAGATTACTTTCTCGCTTGCCTCCATTTTTCCCCTAGTTTCTGTTCCTTCTATTTCCACCTTCCAGGAGCTTCTTCCTGTGGCAGTTTGATGGCAGTTTTTTCCCTTTCCCTCTGCTCAAGTTGGTTCACTTTACTATTTGTACGGACACAATGTATCATTATTAAATAATGTTAAATGAATAAAACTGCTAACTTGTTCTTACTCATTTGAGGCCTTCACTGCTTTGAAACTCCATTCCATTCCAAAACTTCCTCTGAAGTTAAAAAATATCTCACAATGCATTCTTACTATTAGAATTCACTATTACTATTAGAAGTATTACTAGGTGCAACACTTTTACTAACTGCTAAGTACTAAACTCCTTCATTGATGGCATAACTTTTTTTTGTCTCACCCTTATGTACTTGACCCCATAAAAAGCCAGAAATGGACTGAACTGTCACTTCTGCTCTTCTACTCTTCAAACTATCTCCTCAACAAATAAACCAAGTGGTTTTTCAATAACAATTTCATTGCTATTCCAGTATCCTCCCTGCAATGGTCATATCATTTTTGAAACTGATTTCCCCCTGATCTCAGAAAGTTCCTTAGAACATCAAGTTTGTTGGCTTATTGGCTAATTCTGGACACCGCCTGATTAAAAGAATCTCAGTTGCTGGATCTTGGATAACTAGCATGAGTATACTGTATCAGGATAAGTTCCTTCTAAACTTATAGGAATATGCTTAATATAGAACCCGTTATGCCATGGGTACAGTATTGGTACAGGTGGTGGAAATCGTTTCCTCTTCAGCTGTATAGCTGCAATTGATGCTATTCATATTTGGCACAATCTGTCTGACTACCTCAGTGGGGCTGGACATCTAATTTTTACATCCAGGTAGTCAACATATGACTTATGACCTGCTTCCTATTTCCACACAGCCCAATCATCTGTCATAACCATGCTCATATAGTTAACTAAACCTATGAACAAAGCTACTCCTGCCCATTATTGTACAAGTTATTTCTAGTATACTATACACCTTACGTGCCATACAAATGTTACTACATAGCTGCTTCTTATATCTATACATCCTTGTTAGCTGGTCATTTGGCAGACACCTGTACAGTACGTATAGCCAGGTGGCCATGGTTATTGAAGCTTGAATATTTGCCTGTTTCTTCCTTCAGATGATTTCCACTCAAAGTCTGAAGACATACTGGTGGGTTGTCCCTGTGTGAGTGTGGACATGTTGGTGTTTGGGTCTGTCCACCCTGCACTGGACTGGTGTTCTGTCCAGGGTGTATCCTGCCTTGCGCCCATTGTTTGCCAGTAAATATTCCGGTTCCACCGTGACCCTGATTTGGAGGAAGCAGATAGAAAATGGATGGTTTCAGAGATGGATTTTTGAGTGGAAGCCCTCATTTTCCAAGTTTATATCACCTATATCTATTGGGAAATTACCCAAAAAAAGACACTGTAATAGATAAATAAAAGCTTTTCATCTGATGAGTCTGAATTTAAAACTCTTTGTCTTGGCAACAAGATTTATTTGGAGGAGGGATTGTGAATTTTACAATGCTGAATGCCTACAGCCAACAGTGTAGCTCACAGATCTGAGAACATCCGAATTTTTCAATTTCATTACAAAAGAAAACAATGAACCAAAACATAATTCATAAAATGTCAAATGGTATTGTCACCAAACCCAAATTTACAAAAATTCAATAGATTTTCATATTAAATTAAAACATTTTGGTAAATAAACTGGTTCTCTACAGTGTTATATAGAGTGCTGAGAATAAAAAAAAAACAATCATAATATTCCTGCATATGAATCACTGATGAAACAACCTAAAGATTTTAACCTATAGTTTGTCTAGACTGAAAATGATTATTCCTGGAATTCAGTATGTTTTGTCTATGCCATAATTTGTATGTTAATTTAACCATTAGGTTCCTTTTTTCAATGGACCTCAAATACCCACATGTATCAGTATAATACAAATATATAAGTGGAATTGTTTGGAAGAAATAAATTACATTTTGGATTGACTTCCAAAAAAGCAATGATGTGATATTTATAAAATAATAACAAAGAACTAATGTGTAATATTATAATTCTAAAAATATTATTTTTCCATATACAACTTCACTGAAGACTTGTTTATTATGCAGGGAACATGGAAAACCACATATACACATAAGTCTAAATAGTTAATATTTTCTAGTTTAAATTTCCCTTAGTAGATGCGTTTCACCTTTCAGCACCTTTCAGCAGAACTAGCTACAGTCTGTCTTTTTTAATTTTACTTTGTGTTGTGACATACAAAATGGTGATAATATTTATATACTGTATCAATGTTCTGTTTCTGACTCATAACCTTATCCTACTGTATTTACTTTCATAGAATTTCTAGTAACTGGACTACCCCCCTGACAAGGAAGACAATAGACAGATCAGAAACAAAACATCAATGTGCACCCATGTACAGAATCTTTCTATTTTTATATATCAAAGAAATAAACACACAATATCTAAATTGTGTAAGTGCTCTTTTTTGCTACAATGCTCAAAAAGGTGCATGTTGTAATTTAACATAATGAACAGAAATATTTAAATCAACATCTCCCTTAAGCCAATTAATCTGCAATGTATTTAGATTTTACTGCTCTGTATTGCTTGAAATTATCTACTGACTGCAGATGCATAACAATTTTTGCAAGCATCTCAAAGTCTTACATTGAACATTAACTAATTTAATGAAAATATATTTTAATTATTATTTTTTTGCATATTGTTTTTTATCAAAACTGAAATTTGAAACTTCACATATTTTCAGAAGCTCACTTTTATTATTCAAAATATAAATGGCTCAGTTGCTCAATCAGTTTCTTACAAAAAAGTACATGACAGAATGCAGAAAAAGCATCCATTTTTGTATTCACAGCCAAATAGTTCCTTCAAACAAATACACTGTTACATTGCGACGAAAAACTACAGCCAAATACGGTATGCCTTGAGTCTTATTTTTTCCTATAGGGGCAAATCCAGCCCCTATTTTGTGATAGACTAAGCTTAAGCTTTAATAAGAAAAAATAAGTAACAAAATATTAAAAACTATTCAAATAAAGGGCAGGCTATCAATTAATTAACTTATAATTACTGTACTAATCGCAAATTATTATATTTCAAAGCCTGGACTGAAGTTATCATGCATAAATAAACCAATACATAAAATCACTAACTTGTGTAATATTATTATTGCTCTTGTTGTTCAGAAAAAAATATATTGTAGTTAGCATTTTAAAATTATTCCTCTCTTACTGTAGGTAAAATGCAGAAGATCAATTCATACATTTACACTTAAGTAGTTTTACATATTTATTTTTTTAAGTAAAGCCATGATCTTCATTTAGGGCAATATGGATTTAATTGGATGGATGTAACAGTGAAGAAGAAATGATCACTATGTACAGTATATACAGTAACTAATATTGAATCTCAATAAATTTAGAAAAATAGACATTCAAATATTAAAAAAATCTTATTATATTGTATTAGAAATCATTTTCATTTTTACAAATCTATCTGATTTGCTTATTTGGAAATAAAAGCTCTTACAGGAATTATGACTTTTTACTTTTTTACTTCACTTCACTGTGTGGTAGGTTATGCATCTATTTAATTTTGTAAAACAAGGTTACGGGTGGCACCTTAGAGCATAGTTAAACCATAAAATTAAATTCAGTGTCTGGTACAGTATATGCACATAAAAAAAACTTTGAACAACAACAAGGCCACATAAAACAACAGTGAATACTCAGCAAAACCATTCTAAAGAGCACTTTTGCTGTTAGTGGGAAAGAGCAATGCCTTTGTATCAGAGGTAAACCCACTGCTACATGTACTGTATATCTTTGATTGCTGAAGTATTTCTAAGGATATTTTTTGTGTTACAACATTAACACAAGAAATCCTTCATGATGGATTTGATTCCCCTTCATAGGAAAAATTCCTTTCTTCTCACCATTATTATGGTACAAAATGTGATTTATTATACATTTAGAACATTATTCATCTGTGGCAGTGAAGCTTCTTGGGAAACATTTATTAATATGGTCATTCTCTGTTTGGTCCAGAAGATGGCAGACTTTACTGCAAAATGTTTTCTCAGCGTTTTCGGCCACATTCCACCAAATTGTTCAGCACAGAGAGGGTAAAAAATTGAAATGACCTAGCCATATTTTTTAAATGCATTGAGAAGAGACATGTTGTTATATCTGTAGAGCTATGCTTCAGTTAATTGTTCATTTGCGTGTCTCCCTCCTGACGTCCTTGGGATTCAATGGGCTAACTTAACAAAGACTATAAATAAAATCCTTAACATTTTTGTCCATTATTTTAATTTACTTTATGCTATTATTTTGAAGTAGGTTCACAAACTTCATAATAATAATGAAGATTTACACAATTTACATTATTTAAAATTATTCTTTTGAAATAAAAAAACAATCCCCAAAATGAAACTGATTCAAGCACTTTTCAAGTATTTATGTGAAATGGTCAATTAACCAATAATTGTTATTCTATAAAGTATATTACTACAATAATAGCTTTAAAAAGTAATTAACACACAACTTTATTTGATTGCATTTGTTTACCTTTTGAATAAATCAAAACTAATTTATAATGTTGCATTAATTTTGCAAGACTTCAGATGTTCTTTGTGTTTTTCAAAAATAATCACACATGGTTTATTTATTTTAATTCTGTGATATTATTAATATCACATATTTTTGAATGAAGCATTTGGATCTGTTTTTGACTCAAAAAATCCACTCAACAAATGCCAAAGTCTTAGCATCACATGTTAAGTAACTCACCAAATGTAAATTATTTAAGACAGATACATGGACCAAGTAAAGAGTTTGGGATTAATACTTGTAACATGATACAATTTTGGTACCATTTAAATTAGTTAGAAAAACATGTTGCGATGCAATTATGCCATGATTCAGAACTTTATCATTGTGCTATGCTTTTCGTGTTTACTTTTAAGGCTAATAATATGTTAGTTTATACTGCAGGTATCAAAGTTGCTATTTAACAGTTCTGTATTATGTTGTTTTTCATTGTATATGATTTCACTCATAATCATGCAATAAGGCTGCTTGTATCTCTGACAAAATATTTACACAAACTTCTCTACATATAGCCTGTCAATATTTATAACTTAATCACATTTGGAACTTTCCATGGAAAGTATGTAAAACTCTATATGTACAAATTGGTAAGGTGCTATATAAACAAAGGTCTTGTATAATATTATGTCAGTTGTTTATGTTGCAAAATGTCTAATGTTTACATACCTCTGACTGTACCACATCTGCCCTTGAGATGCAAAAAAAGATAGCTTTTTCTTGTTTTTCACAAAACACTTCTTTTAGAGCTGTACTGTATATCAGAAAGGCTAGAAGCTCACAACAAGCTTTAAAATCTATTTGAAATTTGAAATATTTTGTATTGCTTGATAGTTATTTTTTCAGTTTTCATTTTTCGACAAAAACTCAAACCTCAAACCTCAAACCTAAATGGAAACACAAAATCAAATTAAAATATGGATCTTATATTCTTTCTATTGCTTACTTTATTTTCTACTGATGTGTAATATTTATAACTACTAAAAAGAGAAAAGTAAGTATTATTTTAGTCTTGCAAGTACTGTACAGCTAACTATGCAGACATATAAAAACAGAATTCTTCTAAATTTGTCTGATCTTTATGACAGTAAAAAAATCTCTTTAAACTTGTGTTAAATACACAAAAATGGAATAAGGTAAAACTAAAAGTAGATTTAATTATGTTTATTGTAATGTTGTTAAAAAGAGCCAAAAATTAAATAAAATAATTCCAACATTTCTATTTATAGCTCTGACATGCTTGATAGACATTAATTTATCACACTAAATTAGAAAGATATATTGGTGTTCACAATGTTTATGTGAAAAATAGTTTTAGACTGTTATTACATATTTTAAGACCTTGTAATCATGTAATTTTTATTTGAAAAATGTTGCTTTTGAAAAAAGGGATCATGATAGCATTGAGGGAGGGCGTTACTGATTAACTGAATTAATCATTTTTTGTATCTTTATAAACTGAAAAGTAAGGATACAAAAAAGCGGACAACAATGAATTAATATTCAATATGCTTCTTTATATATTTTAGTTAAAGTATGGAATACAAAACAGATCTCACATCATGATGTTCTAAAACAATTTTTGGGGCATGTGAATAAAAAATGTGTACAGTACGTATGTATGTTGTGAGGAATGCATTAATAAACATTCCTGCACATTAAAATATAAATCATATCAACTATATATAATAAAATAAATCTAAATTAATCATTTGTGGTAACCTCAGAATAAGAGAGTTAACACACTCGGTCTAAGTAGACCCGTTTTGCCACAGCTAGAACTCATCAGTAGACTTGCTTTTCCATAACCCTTTTTGGTATTTTATAATTTCCTAATGAACAAAATATGTCAAGTATTTTTTTCTTTTTATATCAAAAATAATTTATATATGTATTCAGTATGCGTGTTCATCAGTATAGG